TGCCCTTCAGACCCTCCTCCCTCAGGGAAGTGGCATCCTTTGCTCCCTGCCCTCTCTTCCTTGACTCGACACCCACTTCTCCTGGTTGGCTGGGACAATTTTGATGTCCGGTGCCCATTCTGAATACTAGTTAATAGCAACACAATTTCTCATAAGTGCGCCTTGTTTTGGACAATATATCCCATGGATATTCAAAACTGGACCACAGAGAAGACTGCCATGAGTCTGGTGACAAGGTTCAGCGATATGGCAGGTCATGGGTCACCTCTAACCTTGGAAACCTGCACCTCCTACTTTGGGCTCGGGTTGACGCTTTGGGGACTTACCTTTTTTGTTGCTCTCCGTTTCGGTGTTTTCTCATCAGTTTTGATTGTGCTTTCTGTAAATTTGACAGCAGTCTGAAATCAGAGTTAATGGAGGAGGGTTATATAGGCTGGTCTCGGTGCATCTCAGGACCAGTGTTTAATTCTTTGCTCACCTAGCACCCTGAGACATAGGCCCAATGCTCTGACTAACTGTGAAAAGCCACTTCCTCTGCCTGCAATTCTAGGGAACTTAATATTAAATACTTAACCCTAAGTGCCTGTGAGGGATGGACATTCAGATTCCTCCCGTCTTCACTGCAGACTGATCCTCAAATCCCCACAGGCCTGTGCTCTAAATTGCCATTGGTAAGGGTCTAAATGGTTGTATCATGCTCAGGTCTGTAATCCTCCAACTACAGCTGGCAGGCAGAGTGGAGGAGGGGAGAGAGCAATGGTGTCCTAAGCACCTGCTATGCTGGCGCCTAGCATGATGGATCCCAACAGTAGGACATTTGTTGGGCAAAGTGTTTCTCCTTTGCCGCAGATGTGCTCAATATGTGGTTGCAGCGGCAACACCCGAAAGATTCACTGGCGTAAAGGCAATAAAGTCAGTTGTTCCTGTCAGGGGAAATAACATATATTAAGAAAATTTAAATATGCATCAATAGAGAATTCAATACCTGGGTTCAGCTCAATCATGCAGTGGAACCAAATAATGATGAGAAAGAGCTTATGACAAAAGACTTAATGGGTGATTTCAGAATGGCCCAGAAACACAGGAAAACATGCCCAACATCATCAATCACGAAAAATGTAAAATCCTTAATATTAGTCTTTCATTAAATATCAGTAAAATGATTCAGGTGTATGCAGGAAGAACCACACATCATGGTCTAGCTGGGTCCCACCTAGTTCACTCTTTGAAAATCAGTTGATGTAATTGTCCATGTTTCCAGGCTGAAGCAGAAAAATAATACACCCATCTGAATTAATGTGGAAAAAGTATTTGATAGAGCTCACTCCTTCATGATAAAAAGAAAAACAACGTTCAGAAACAATAAGGTAGAGGGGAACTTTCTCAAGTAGAGAAAGGGTATCTACAAAAACTCCTACCACTAGCATTACACCTAGTAGTGAAGCACTGAATGGTTTTCATGAAACTGGAAACAAGGCAAGGGTGTCAGTGCTCCTTAACCCTATGTCACAGAGTGCTGGAAGTTAGAGCCAGGGCAATAAGGTGAGTAAAGGAAATAAAGGGCACACTGATCACAGGGTTAGAAAGAAAACTGTCTTTGCAGACAGTATGATTGTCTGAGGACAAAAATCCCTCCTAGAACTAATGAGTTGTTCATCAAGGTTGCAGGATGCAAACAAGAGTATTACATTTCTACCTACTAACAATGAACTCATAATCTCCAATGGAAAAATAAATTCCACTTACAATAACTGTAGTGTAGAATACGAAATTGTAAATCTAACAAAGCATGTATAGGATTTGTATGGTAGATATTACAAAACACTGATAAAAATCAGAGATACGTGAGTAAAGGGACATAGGAGTCATGCTCATAAGTTACAAGACTCAGTCCAGTAAACAAGTCAATTCTCCCACACTGTCAGCTTTCCACCCGCAGCTGTCTATGGAATCTTCTTTGAAACCATCCCGGCAGAGGAGTGTGGGATCACACTGCCATGTGGGAAGGGTGCACGACCACACTCCCACTCTGCTGTGGCTGGCATGGGTCAGGATGGGGCCACAGATTTTTCTGTAGTGTTTAGGTAGAGTATAGCAGTTATTTTGTGAATGTTTTATCTCAACAGTCCGCATCGTTTCTGGTGTTTTGGCTAGAGCATTTGTTTTGCTTTGCTGTTTGTTTTGGGTATGTGGGTTCTCTTTGCGGTATCCTGGTGATGGCTTCTTGAGCTCCACAGCACAGTGACTGAGAACAAGCCTATGGTACTTTTATAGTAAATCAAAATAGTAGCACTATGACGGTTCAGTCTTGTGATTAAAAATAAGTCTAATATTCTGTGTTTTTTTATATATTTCTAAAATTGATTTTATTGTTTTACAAGAGAACTGGTCTGTGATGGATCCAACTGTGTCCAATCTGTGGCTGGCCAGTTGTTTACCCTCTGTTTTTTTAAGTGAAAAGAAATTTGTCTTAGGCTACATGAAAATATATAATATAGTTAATAAATATGTGTATGACAAAAGTCTTGTTTTGAAAGTTTTCATTATAACTTTAAAAGAGACAAGGAGGAAAAAGGCAGGCCACAGGTAGAACGTGGCTGGCAGATGTCTTTAACACGTTTTTTCCCCGAGATACTCAGGAAGCAGTGCTGTGAGGTGTGAGTGCAAGGATGGTGACTGAAGGAGAATGGAATTCAAGGTCATTAGAGGTGGAAGACCAGTGTTTGGAAGTACTGTCCAGCCAATGGTCCAAATGCACCAGCGTGCCATGCAAGGTAGAAGACACAGTGCGTGTCCTACACAGGGTCAGCACCCTGGAGAAGCTGGTGCTGATGAGTGAAAATGGAAAAGGGCGTCTCTGATCCTTTACTCCAGCGTAGTGTTTCAAGAATCATCAAACCAGGTAACAAAAAGGACCCCCAGTGTGTCTGTCACCATCAGACACAGGCAGATGTCTACAGTTCATACTTTCCCAGTGCCTTGGAGGGTGCAGGAGCACTGGGTAGAGTTTTCCTATGCTTTTGTCCTCCCACTGTCTCCAGGCACTTGTGCTCACTGTCTGAGCTGCATTGTGCTCACTCATGAAGTGGGGAAGCCCTTGCTTTGTGGGCTCACAGGTTCATGGAACTGGGAGAAACACTTTCTGGTGGAAAAGACCCACTGTGTGTGTGAAAAGCCACAGGATCCCCACAAAGAGGAGCCTCTGCATCTGCGCTTGCACCTCACGCTTGAACCAGCCTAGCACGCTGAGGTCTCACATGGTTCCACAGGCCTCATGGGTCCAGCCTCTCTTTGCTTCCACTGACATCTGTGCCTACCTCTAGTCACTCCATTCCCCTGCAGACTCAGGCTAACCCTTAATTACCTTTCCACTTCCATGTGTGGATGAGGAGGGCACTTTGGGGAGAGCAACTCAGTAGGATCAGAGGTGGTTCCTTAACTTCTAGGGACCCTGAGGTCAGGGGTTAATAGTCCCATGTTCTCACACCTACATACCTTTTTTGCCTTTGCTTCTTCATCTTGGTTAGTCTTCTGCAATCAGAATGTAGTGGGAGAATGGATGAGGATCAGCCACTGTCCAAAGATTCCAAAGCCCTGCTCCTCACTCTGCCCATGTCCCACAGAGCCCTCTGGAACTTTCCATTGCTGGTACATCTCTCCAATCCCAGGGGAGTGAGTCTGACAAAAAAAATGCTCAAAAAATGGCTTAGGGGGGAACTTTCCCAAGTGGAAATAGAGCAGCCACAAAAACTACTGCAGCTAACATTACCCATAGTAGTGAAGCACTAAATGATTTTACATGGAACTGGAAACAAGGCAAGGGTGCCAGTGCTCCTTAACTGTATGTCACAGAGTGCTGGAAGTTAGAGCCAGGCTTAATCACAAAGGTGGTCCCTGAGGGAGAATGGAATTCTGATGAAGACCACTATGGAGCAGACCTGAGCAGGACTTAAGTTGATCAATTGGCTTTTCATGTTCACTTGTGAATCTGTCCAAGGTCTGGGCTCCTTGTCTGGAAATGGTGGACTCATAGTAAGTGAACCTCTGTGAGTCACTAATCTCTACTAGAACCTGTAGTTGTAGATTAAGCCGGAGAGCCTCAAAGGACAAGACAAGATCACAGCCAAGGACACCTGGATCAGATCTCATTAAATAAAGACTATATCCTCAAGCATCTCATTCTTGAATGGATTCAATTAATACCTTACTTTGACAAGTCCTGGAGTGATTCTGCCCTTCTTGAGTACTCCCCTCTCTTCTGATAACCAAATAAATATGGGTGACCCAGAGAAGGTCATGGTCTTACCCCTGAGAGAATCTTGAAATATGTGAGAGGGCTTTGATCCTCCTGGAGCCCTAAAATCATTTCATTTTCCTCTTTTTATTTAGCCTTTGCCTTACACTCATTCGGGAGATTGCAGACCCAATCAGCCCGCAATAGCTCAGGGATATTAATAACCCCATAAGTGGTGCCTGGGCAGAGACATATAGTTCTTGGACTGAAAAATTTTTTAGCCTGATTGAGTAAGTCTACCTAGAGTAGAAAAGTGTGGGAGATGGTGAAGGCCTTCACAGGATGAAAACTTCACCGGGCACGCCTGGAGAATGGAGGAAAGAGAAGCCTTCCTCAAGGAATAGGGGTGAGTCTTCCCACTGTGAAAAAGCTGCTTTTATCCAGGAGTAAAATGGGCCAAAAATGTTCAACCGAAGAACAAAGATACATAAAGCGGCTCCAAGGTTTGCTTAAATGCTCAGGGCCTTGTGTGCCAAAAAAAGACCTAATAGAAATGTTACAAGAGGTAATCAAATATAATTCATGGTTTCCTTGGACAGGAACTGTCGATATTGATGACTGGTAAAGAGTTGGAAAAAAATCTTAGAAAGGCACACAGTATGGGAAAGATCATTTCCCCGAGACATTCTCAGCTTGGAACCTAGTTTGTTCAGTTTGAAGTCTGTTGCAGACCTTAGAGTCAGTAGCCTCTGACTCAGATGCAGAGGAAACAAAAGAGCACCCAGTCGAGAAGCTTAGGCCGGAGCAGGAGCCTTTCAAAAGAGCAGAGAGAGCAGGCTTTATCTAGAAACTTACAGATTTTAAAGGAATAAGCAGTTGCAAAAGGAGAAATCATTGGCACCCCTGCTTGCTTCCCAGTTGGAACTCAGCAAAATGGTCATAATGAGGAGATTGTTTTTTATTTGCCTTTTGAAATCCAGATGCTAAAAAATCTCAAACTAAGTGTTGTCAATAATAAGGCAACCATGAGGGCTCAGGTTATGGCTGGTTTTAAGAATACAGGAGGGGGTAATCTAAAATGTTTTAACTGTGGAAAAATGGAACATATTAGAAAAAATTGTAGAGTTCTTGCTGGAGCTAATGGGACAGTCACTGTGACTGCAACAGGTCTAGGCAACAATGCCTCTGGCGTGGAGGGTTTGGGTCCCACGCCCGGACTCTGTCCGAGATGCCAAAAAGGGAGACGTTGGGCCAGACACTGTCATTCTGAAATCCATAAGGATGGTACACCCTTGCCAATAAAAGGAGATAAGGGCCTTCCCTCAGGCCAGCCAAACAATAGAAGAAATAGAACTTGTGAGTCAGAACATCGGTCAGCTTTATCCAGTGCAAAAACACAGCAGATTCTACAACATCCTCAAAGGTGGCTCCCCAGAGGGATATAAATTCCCTCACCAGGGCAACAACACAAAGTATAGGATTAGATCTTCCTGCAGCTAGCAGAGTCACTCCTATCAGGGGGTGACAAACCTAGCCTATTTGCCACAGGAGTTTGGGATCCACCACCTGAGGCAACAGTTGGTCTTGTACTGGGAAAGGCTGATCTAATTTAAAAGGAATAACTATTGTGCCTAGTTTGATTGCTGGTGATTGTCGACATGAAATACAAGTTTTGCATGTGCTACGGATCCCTGGGTGTTTGAACCGGCAGAAAATGGGGCACAACTGATTTTGTTACCTATAGATAAACCTTCCTTTGTTAAATATAGACAGTTCATGAGGGAACGAGACCCTCAGAGCAAGACTACAAAAAGAGAAATTTATTTTACACAGGAAATGACTAAAAACAGGCCAGTGTGTTTTATAAAGATCAATGGAAAATGCTTTGAAGGCCTAATAGACACTGGCGCAGATGTGTCTGTATTTGCTTTAGAACAATGGCCCACCACGTGGCCAACGCAAAGGGCCCTACCTCTTTAGTAGGACTGGGGTCACCTCAGCAGGTACTACAGAGCACCTCACCCCTGCCGTATGAGGGGCCAGACAAGCAAAAGGGCTTCTTTTCATCATATGTGGCACCTATTCCAGTCAGTTTGTGGGGAAGAGATTTGTTACAAAAGTGGAAATTAGTATTGACTAATGATTCTGATTATAACTGTAAACAAATTCTGATTCTGAAATTAAACAAGTAGATTCAAATCCTGAAATTAGTCGAATGATGATTATCATGAGGTATCAGAAGGACAGGGGGTTAGGAAAGAACTTACAGGGAATCAAAGAGCCTGTAAGTGTTACAACCAAGAATGACAGGCGTGGTATCCGATGTCAACAGATTTTTTTCCTTAACGAGGGCCACGGATGCTTCTCCCTCCAAAACAGCTCTGCCTTTGCAATGGAAAACGGAGGAGCCTGCTTGGGTAGATCAGTGGCCTTTTAGTAGGGAGAAACTCATCCAGCTACACAAATTACTTGAAGAACAATTCCAACTAGGACATTTAGAAAATCAGTTAGTCCTTGGAATACTCCTGTCCTTGTTATTCCAAAGGGATCAGGCAAATGGAGGTTATTGCAAGATTTAAGAGCTGTAAATGCTTGCTTACTTCCTATGGGGGCACTGCAGGCAGGACTGCCAAACCCAGCTGCAGTTCCCAGAGAGTGGCCCCTCATCATAATAGACTTAAAAGACTGCTTTTTAAATATCCCTCTTTTTCCCACAGGTAGGCCATATTTTTCCTTTTCTGTACTTAGTTTAAACTTTAAAGAGACAATGTAGTGATATCAATGGGCCACATTACCTCAAGGAATTCAAAATTGTCCAACTTTGTGCCCGCTCTTTGTACTGCAGGCCTTACAGAGAGTTAGACAAGCTCTATATTGGCAAGCAGCATTTGTGGATTTTATAGGACAAATTGATAATCATTTTCCCAGTGATCCTATCTTTCAATCTTTTATCAAGTGTTCATGTATTATTCCAAAAATTACTAAATTTGAACCAATTTGTGATACAGTAATCTATTTTACTGGTCATTCATCAAAGGGCAACTCTGCCATCTGAAGTAAGGATTATCAACAGGTAATAGAGATGCTAGCACTCTGCACAAAGGTCTGAAATTACTGCTATCTTGTTTGTCATGCAACAGTTTAATTCTAAACCTATTAACATAATTAGTGACTCAGCCCAGGCAGTCTCCCTTACTCAGAGACTTGAGAATGCCACCCTATGGTTGACTTTAGCTCTGCCTTTATTTAATTTATTTCTCAGGCTACAAAAAGCAATTTATAATCAAACAGCAGCCATTTATTATGGTAACATATGGTCTTATTCTAATTTACCTGAATTTTTAACCTGGGAATCAGCAGGCTGATTCATTAATTGCTTTTACTACTCCATTTGATGCAGCTAGTCAGTCTCATTCATATCACTGTCAAAATAGTTAACCAAAGAATTTCAATTATCCAGGTCTCAAGCAAGACAAATTGTTAAGTCCTGCCCTACTTGTCAAAAGGTTCCTGGGCCTGTGCCACAGGACAGCAGAAACCCCACAGGTTTAAAATGTAATGAGATTTGGCAGATGGATATTACACACCTTTCCTCTTTTGGCAAACTACAATATATTCTTGTATCTGTTGATATGTACTCTCTCATTTAATTTATGAAACTTGCCACACAGGAGAAAAAATTGGCCATGTTGAACAACATTGCTTGTCAACATTTGCTTCTATGGGTGTTCCACGCAGCATAAAGACTGACAATGGGCCTTCATATATGAGTAAACCATTACAGTCCTTTTTCAACTATGGCACATTAAACACATCACAGGAATCCCTTACAACCCTCAAGGACAAGTGATTGTAGAAAGAGCACACCTATCTCTTAAAACTCAATTACAAAAACAAAAAAGAAGGAATACAGACATCCCCACAAGCACAGTTAGATTTAGCCATTTTTACTCTAAACTTTCTAAATCCAGCTGCAGACAAGAAATTGACCCCGGCCGAACTTCATTGTCAACATCCTATGATGATTCCCCCCTAGGGCTCGAGGGCTTTGGAAGGACATTGGCACAGGTAAATGGGAAGGAGCAGTTCAGCTAATAACATGGGAAGAGGTTATGCTTCTGTCCTAACAGGTCCACAAGGTGGCTGCCATCCAGGAATGTATCATCTTGGCAAGAAATGTGACTGACCATGGAGACAGTTCCTTGTGATGGCTCCACTGATCCAAGTCCTCCAGAGGATGAGCCTGTCCCATGAGGCTTGCTCCCAGGGATTTGCCAATCAGATAGGCAATCTACCACCAACACCTGAAAATCCTTTGATTACCTTAATGGCTCCACTGACAATATCCTATGTATAACACCTGTTTTCAGAGCAGATTATTGGATTTATGCTCCTAATCCACCATTACTTGGGTAGACTCTCCACCTCAGATTTATCATGAACCAGACACTACTGGCCCTAAATCAGGTAAAAGGCTTTCATTTTTTTCAAATTCTTATATGAGATCTCTACTAATTGACATATAAAAAATTCTGATGAGTCTTTTTATAATTACAAACTTAAAAAATGATTACTATTGAGGGAGACCACTACTAACCAGACCTGAGCAGGACTTAATCAATTGGCTTTTCATGTTCACTTGTGAATCTGTCCCAGGCCTAGGCTCCTTATCTGGAAATGGTGGCCTCATACTAAGTGAACCTCTGTGAGTCACAAATCCCTACTAGAACCTGTAGTGGTGGATGAAGCCAGAAAGCCTCAAAGGATAAGACAAGATCACAACCAAGGACACCTGGGTCAGCTCTCAACCAGATAAAGACTATAGCCTCAGGCATCTCATTCTTGAGTGCATTAACTTAATACCTTACTTAGACAAGTCCTTGAGTGGCTCCACCCTTCCTGAGTACTCCCCTCCCTTCTTTTGATAACTATATAAACATGGGCCACCAAGAGGAGATTTTGGTCTTAGCCCTCGAGAGAATCTTGAATTCTGAGAGAGGGCTTTGATTCTCCTGGAGGCCTGAAATCATTCCGTTTGTCTCTTTTTATTTAGCTTTTGCCATACACTCATTCAGGAGATTGCAGACCCGATCAGCCTGCAATACTAAGGGATATTATTAACCCCATAACTATAATTTAACTTGGCAAAATATATTTGAGTGCACTCTAATTTTATAAACAAATTGTCTTTTGTGTGTGTCTGTGTTTGTCTCTCTGTCCAATCTGTTAACAGCTGTTGTGTTTGAGCTCAATTTTTCTTCCTTTTTTTGAAACATTTGTCTATAATTTGTTTTATAGATAAATGTAATCTAAAATTGAGGGTATGCTACCTCTAAGGTTATCAGCTGGTCAAAATGACATCAAAATTGGTTTTATAAAAGTTATAGGTATTGTTGTTTATGTATTAAGACTTGGGGGGGGTCCTTCATTGTTCAAAGTTAATACTGAGATTGCATTTTCATGGGCTATAAAAATTTATTACAATAATTACACAAAAATCCCATAGGGTGAGGAGAAACTGTTGGACAGGACTCCAACTGATGACTAAGGAAGCAGCTGCCTGGAAGCATTCTTCCAGTCCTTGCTGATTAATGGGAAGCCCCAATAATTTCCACAGCCTTAAGGGAGACACCCCAATAAATAATTGTTCAAAATATATTATGATATATTTATATTGGTCATCTTCAAAAGGTTAAGTTTTCAAAAACCAAGATAAGGTTTTCTGATTAAAAGATGTTCTTGGTACAAAACTAAATTGAGAAACAAAATATTGACCATTTGTTATTGCCAATCTCATGATGTATTAAATGTATTCATGCCTTTGAAATGTACGGTACTCTAAAATGTAAAACTGGGATTGTTACACTGATAGACATCTGCCTTTCTCTTGTGCCCCAGATATTTGTAATAAGAGGTTCATGTCAAGCCAACATAATGTCATCAGTCAAATGGTAATTTTTAGCAAAAACCTATGTGATATGTATGCTATATATGTGACTCTCCCTTTAGAGATGCCTAGATATTGAACAGCCCAGACAATGGTACAAACTTCTTCAATGACATCCTAGTAAAGGACAGCAAGTTAGGTAAAAGCTTCTTATCTATTAGGTAGAGATAATTGACTCAAAAGGTTACTGTACTCCAAGATGGAGATTTAAATGTATTTCAGAAGTGTCATCATGCCTGTTATGCTACACTACTATGTATGCCTTTGATTTCAAATTTTCTTTGTAAAGCTATGTAACTGTTGTCTGTTAACATTCTATAGGGATTCAACTACTAGAACATCCTTGGTTGGTAAAAATAACAATTCTCTGGCTGTACTTTATATTTCAAGGTGCTCCCCACTACAATATAATGTCATTAACCTTCTCTTCTGGATGTTCAAAAACTGAGATTTGGAGACCAAAAGTTAGAAAGAAAGATGGGATAAGTGGATAGCCAATACTTTGGCCCTAGCCCTCTGAGGTCAGTGAGAACCCAGGACATGAGAGAACCTTTGCTTCACCATTCTATAATTCAGCTGAGTCCCTGATATTCTGATCAAAGAGACTATGGGACCACAGAGGAAAGCAATTCTACAGTGTGTGGTGTGCCTCAGGAGAGTCACCAGGAGAGAAAATTATCCCAAGCTTTTAGAGAAAGCAACTTGGTCAAGCAATGGCTGTGACTCATCCAGAGGGCTGACACTCACAAAGGAACTGAGAGGCACTGCACATGCTTCCAAGGTAAATCCTGAGATTTAGCTGACCTTGATAGATAACAAGAAGTTAATTTTAATACAGGTCTCACCTTAACTTGGCCTTTGAGCAAACAGCAGCAGAAAAGTACAAGAATACTAGCCATGTTTCAATTGCTGCAATTACAAAAACAAAAAGAAGGAATTGCTGGAGACCACTGTGAAGCAGACCTGAGCAGGATTTAAATTAATCAATTGGCTTTTCTTTTTTTTTTTATTTTAAAGAATAAAAGAAGGATAACATAATAATAGGGGAGACTTAGCATATTACAGACAAAATGGTAGGAA